ATGCATATTTTTCGCAAGCAGCAAGCAGGAAAAGAATTGCCAACTCAAAGGCAATGAAATGCAATTAAACAATTAAAGTTACCACAACATTTTGGCAATGCAAATTCGAGAAATAAAAATGTATGAAGAGTATTGTAAGTGCGTAAGAGATGAAGGCTACATTCTCATGCAATTAAATGCTGTAAAAATAATAGCTTCTATACTAGCGTGCATTTAGATACAATTTGTTCGATACGAACTAGTAATTTGCTAGAGAAGGGGGAGGAGTAAATAGACTGTGCGAATTTGCAACTACATATCGTCACCTAAAATGGAAAACAACGCATCATCAAAAAAATGAAAATTGAACTTTTCAATACTTACGATTCACTACATTATATTACATATTAGGCATAAAATTTTCTGCTGCCACTGTCAGTTATAACCAATATATAACCATTTTAGAACCAAAACTAATTTTTTTTTTTTTTTTTTTTTCAATATGAGGCGTTTTCCTTCGCCTGTAAATTTATGAAAAGTGATGTTTCGTCATTTTAAATTTTAAGTACAGTCATGCTGTTTAAATGAACGTCCTTGCTGTTTATTACTTATACGCCATGTGGTACTATGTTTTGTATAAGTGCCCAATATTACTCATACGCCATGTACTTCATTAAGATATTGCCTGCAATGAAGCAAAAATATTTTCAAAAAACAAAATTCTTTTGGATTTAATAATAAATTTGCAGTTTTTTCATGTTTTGAATATCTTCATTAACGTTAACTTATTGCGAAATATCAACAGCGGGCATTGGGGATATGAATTATATATGTTTAGTGCACACCGCTCATAAAAATATATATTTTGTAGAAGCTAAAAACATGAAAACCCTTATGTTATTAACTGATTTGTAAAATAAATTTTCAAATTCACTTACTTTTATTTTATATTTACACAAAAAGTAATCAATTTATTGGTCGAAAAATATGTTCACTCTTCTTACGCTATTCTCCATTTTCAATTTCTATAGACGCGCAAATACACTTTCGCTACTTTTTTTCTTTTTTTCATCTACCATTTATTTATATCAAGAATACTTAGTCAATAGTAAGACCTAAAACTAAGCTTCTACACACTACCAAAAGAGCATTAATTTACTAAATAGACAGGCCATAATAACTTTATTTTACACATGAGATGGTATGAATGGTAGGAATGAAATGCATGCAAGGCGGTATAAAAAAGAGTAATATGCGTGAAATTTCAACTAAACCCGTTGTATAATATCGTCTTTATATTTTAATTGTTATTGTTTGTTAATATCGGGCAATAGTCACGACTACATCCCATATAGCAAAATTTTAACTTCCAACATGTCATTTCACATAAAAATATGTACCTAAGCCCTAATGAGGATATCGCAATTGCACATTTCGCAAACTACGGATACTTATAGTTTATAAATGGTCAAAATTGGGCTATAACTCGTCAAAGCCCATAAATATCAAATATGATAACTTCAGTGTCTATACCCTGTTTTCATGGTAGGAATACACCATAACAATATTTGAGATAGCATAACCGTGGATATATAGTACCATAACAAATTTTCAACCAATATCGTGCCGCAACCACCGCATTCGCCTGATTTACCTTCGTGTAACTTCTGGCTATTCAGCAAATTCACATGACCACTCCGAGGACACCGTTTTAACCCGATTGAGAATATAGTAAAAGCTGAATCGAAGAAGGCTCTGATGGCCATCATGACGGAGGATTTTTCCAAGTGCTATGGTGACTGGAAAATTCGTTGGCAAAAGTGTACTGAATGGGAGGGGAGGGGATTATTTTCAAGGAGACGAAATGGACAGAATTCATCTTTCAAATTGACTACAGTAGTGTAACTGCCATACAATTGGACCGATCAAAATCAATCTTTGTATACTATAATAATTATAATAGCACCTATGAGAGCAATATTCTTTGAGGGCAGCGCTGAGGATTTTTTTTCAGCGCCGACAGAGACCGCGTGTGTCGCGTAGAATATTTGAGTTTTTTCTTACAATAACTTGAATGTGTATTTTAAAAATTTATAGATATATACTCTCGTGTGTTCGTTTATGCTAAAAGTAAATGTAATAAGTCCAGCTTATTCCTAATATGCTCAACATAGTGACTATTAACTTTTAAGTAGACTTTGAACCATTGCATAAATTTATTGCAATAGAAGATAACTCAGAAAAATTAAAAACTGCTGTATGTAGTCTCTTGTGAGTGAAGCCATAGAATAGAAAAACTTCTCTGTTCGAGCTTATAATATAGCAAAACGTTTAGTAGCCAAAACAAATTTTCACAGGCATTTAATTCCCATTCCCGCCAGCCCGGTGGGATGTCTGAATGTATAGCACCTACTTCAAGTGTTTAGGTCTTGATCTCTCATAGACGACACTGTCAAGAAGGAAGTGTTGGGTTGTTTCCATCTCATCATCTACCATACAGTTTCTACAGATGACGTGTGTTAGAATTCCAGGCATACCGTGTGGACGTCAATAGGACAATGGCCTGTTAAAAGTTCCACAACTGAGGACAGGCTAGACTTACTGAGGGCAAAGAGATCACTAAATCTCTTACGATCGATCTTAGGTCAAAATGCTTTTGCGAAAGCGCATGTACTGATGATGGTCAAGCGCTGGCCAAGCTTCCGCGAAGCCCCGATATCTAGTAGTAGAACACAAGAGGCTGATATGCGCCGATAAATATGACTTGCCATCCTATCTTAATGTTTTCTTTTAGTATCTGTTGATTCGTTTTATAGTATTTAAGCTCATGTATTAAAAAAATAGTTTGCGCAGCCGTGCTCTAAAATGTCAGTTCTCAAAGCCAAAAAGAACCTAAACATGATCATCACCTGCATATCATGACAATATTTTCTATACTATAATTCGAAGCATCAGATATTACGTAGCCTTCAAACGCAAGAAGTCGAAGAGAAAAACTAAAAGTTTATTAAAAAATTTAATAATGAAATAGAGCTACAACTTATCCATAGACAAACAGACAAAGCCGTCATACAACCCACAAATATGCGACACATATTTGAATCAACACTGTGGCACTTTAATATGTCATTGAAGTATTATTGCGTTTACTTTCAATCATCTATCGAATAATAAATAAATATGCCTTTGTCAATATACTGCTATTGACCATACTTCAAAACGCGAGCGCACACACTACAATGGCTCAGAGCAGAAACTATTGCTATATAACACAAGTATAAAAATCAATCGCAAATTTATATAGTTAAATATGTGAAAGGCAACAACAATCAGATCAGTTTTCACATTAAATAACACTTGAAATAATGGCTGATCTTTAAGTGATGCAAAGTTTGATTGAGCTTTAAAAAAAAAAAATAGAGACAAACAACCACATCGAGGAGTATATAAAGAAAAAAGTATGAAAGATAGGAGTATATTTACTCGTATTTATGTAATTATAATTCCCAGTAGGAATATACAGCATAAAAATGTGGTCAAATATTTATACATAGAATATTAACTTCTCTTCCACGTATTTCATAACGACAAATATTCAATGTTACAATATTAACACTTTATCTGGGAAGCGCTAGGACTTCGTCTAAATAAAGCAATTTTTTAGCTGTAAGCTTTCTACTGACCCTTTAGTTACACAAGCACACACTCCAGTGTTTGGCTGTGTGACAAAAGCCTCATAAAAATGGCTGACGGCAGTCATGACCATCAGCTCAACAAGCCAGTTTATGGCGGCGTATAATGCGAGATGGCTGATGTTTATGTTTAGGATGTGTGGTTGCTGTAAACTATCTGGGTCATATGTAGGTACCTTCTTATATAGTTATATGGTTATATGGTGTATGTGTAGGCAGTCAATCACTTCTGTTGTGTTTACGAATTCACTGAGGATAAGTGTACTCAAGTATTATGACCAATTTTATGCAAATTAATTGAGTCATTTCCACTTTCACCACTTCTTTTCTATTTGCTGTAAACAACAAAAAAGGATTGTGTTATATTGTAGATGTATTGGTGAAATGATTTTAAGTATTCCAGTATTATTTTCTTAAATAAAGGGTACATTGTGGAAAATAAAATGTCCAAATATTGATTGGCATTGTAATAAGTAGATGCTCTCACCGCCCTTATATATCGGGTAAATATAGATCACACCTAAATTTCTGCAATTCTGACTAGTTTATTTGTTTCAATATTGTTTCATGTAGACTGCAAAAACAACGCTTATTGCAGCAATTATATAATCATATTCGGGCTACTATATTCGAATCTATAGCAGATGTCCTGAGGCGATTTATAAATATGTAACATAAATATACACTTTCGCAACGAAGAAATTTTTTCTCAAATCTGAGTGCCTTTCAAAGCGAGAAAAAAAATTATTACGCGGGCTGGGGTGTTCCTCTCCTAAAGTTCCTTGGTAAAAGCAAAAGCGATTCTCTTAGTTATTGGGGCATCAATCTCCTTCCAGTAATTGAAAAATTCCTATAAAAAGTTATAGTGGAGCAGCTTCAGGAGCTAACGCGAGGTAAATGGGCAAATAAGTAGTATGGGTTCAGGAAAGGTTGCGGTATAAAGGATACATGGTTTTATATCCAGAATGTTGTTTGGAAAAATGCCAAAAAATATGACCTTGGCATACATCAAGGGGATGTTTGACTTTCTATTGAGAAAGGCGCCATTTCTCCATTCACAAATTCGAATTTATTACCAAATGAACATATTCTACAATATAATAAACTATATGTATTACTAACCAATTAATTTAATTAATTTAATATTCCTTCAAAGCAAAAATTAACATCTCCGAAAGCCATTTGATGTGTTCTTAAAATTTGTACTGCCCTTTTTCCCTAAAATAATACTTAACATATATTTATATTAAACTGTATTTCTCGAAGCAATTCAAGTCAAGTGAGACGCTTTTTTTAAAATAAATAAGTATTAGTTAATATTGCAATAAATCAATTCTCGCCATTCATAGTGTTCAGGAACATAAAATACGACACAGCTGAGCGCAGAGCCTGAAAGTGGATAAAGCCAATAATATCACAAATTCATATTATGAATGCCTGAACGCCGCCAAAATACTTACCGCACTCACCGTACTGTAAGTGAGCGGAAAAAATTTCATACCATCGAAAACAATGGGTTCCTGAGAATTCATGATGGCAAATTGTACATCACCCAACAACAATTTATTGCTATGCAGATCGCCAAGCACCAACAAATCCTCCCAACGACAACAGTAAAAGCTATTTCGCAGCTCCGTGGTCTACGCAAAAACGAAGCGAATTTAACGAGCCGTCAACGTGTATTAAAAAGCGGTTTAATTGTATATATAAGCATATTGAGACACATAAATTAGAAATATCTTTAATGATATTAGAAGTAATGAAAACCTTAAGCCATACCTCATCCATCAGCATTTGACCAAAATAGCCAATTAACAGAAACTGCGCAGTTTGCGAAATGAGCCAGGAAATGTATTTGCTCGACGCCACAGTGATTGGACCCTATAATGAAGCGCGCGTAGAAAAAATGCAGAGAGAATAATTGTGATAAATGTTGGAAATATTTAAATGCGTCTGCGAGTTGGCATACTCACGCTCTGAAACTGAAAGGAGACAACGCACAGCAGCAAAACGCCAAAGGACAAAATGTAGAATATTTGGTGGGTGAAATGAGCCTTGGCCTCGGCGACGAAGCTGCAAAAGGAAATTGCGTAAGCACAACGAACTAAATAAGAAAGAAAAAGCATACACCAATGATATATGAGCATTAAGCTTAAGGATATAGAAGGAATTGCGTGTAAAAACATATGCAGCTGACGCTATTGTACTCAGTAATTGTCTTTGACAACGCTGCTAAAATACCACAATGTGCTAATACGAAGGTTGTCCAATAAGTACAGGCTATAAAATAAGAAGTTGTAAAAAAGTTATGTCTCCACGTAATCTCCTTTTAATTCGATACATTTGACATTTGTTTATAGTGAAGTCTTCAGCTTCTTTGAGACAGCTTTAACGGATGAGGTCCACTGTGTCGACTATATCGTGGTCTCCGGTGCCAATAAATTCATTTATAGTCGACAATAACAGCTATTGTAAGACCAATTCTGGAGAGGTCTACGGAAATCCACCTACCGGAAGCCAATGGAAAGGGTTCAGAGCTTTAGGAACAACTCCAACGGCTAAACTAGCGCTAAATCCACATCTAGATCTTTTCGCTGAAAACGGCGCAGAAAAATTGGTGTAACGACCGGTTTCAGGAGAGTTTACATATAGAATCTTCGGGTATAGCTGGGTGGGTAATGGCGGTCTTGAAAAACACCGACTGCAACATCCCACTCTTCAACTGGGAAAGAAAATTCAAAGTAAACATAAAAAGATATGATTGGTGTAAAGGAATGTTAGCTGCATGCAATATTCTAAGCATCTATACGGATGGCTCGAAAATGGATGATGGAATTGGTGCGGAGAAATACTGTCCAGAATTAGGCATACGGCATTCTTTAAGTTGCCGAACCACTGCAGTATATTTCAAGGTGAGGTCTTTGCTATTGCGAAAACCACAAAGCTGGCCTCTAATGCGCCTGCAGGCAGCCAGAGGCGTCTTCAGAAACAGGGCGGCAGTGTAAAGTATTGCCGGAAGCAAGCGACTTCACTTCTACTGGGCTCCAGGCCACAGAAACCTGGAGGGCAATGAGGTATTGAACGAGATTGCCAAGAATCAAAATTCGATGGAACGGGCTAAGTGGATGCAAAACTACAAAAGTCATGTCCAAAACGGTAGATCGGTAGTACACAAAGCCCTACTGGCACTCGACAGAAGAGACTGTAGAAACAAGATGGAACTAGTCTGTTTGCGACATATGCTTTCAGGATGGGGCTGACAGATCGAGAAGACTGCAGGAAATATCCAGAGCAGTGCAGCAGGGAAACAATGGACCATCTCACATTGGCAAGACATATGGGGTCCCCCACGGTATGATACACTGGAGGAGGTATCGATAGTGAGGTCGTAGGGTCTGTTAAAATTCGCAGGAATCCTAAAGGATGATTAACCCCCTGGACCTAGCTACTGAAATCTATCTGGTATCACAAAGGACCAAAAGTGATCTATACATAGCTTATAGGCCTACCAGATTAGCATAACCTATACTGACAATAACAAACCAGGAAATATATTTTTTCGGATTTTTCTTAAAAAGTGCGTAACACTGCTTCAAAGTAGTCTCACAATTATCCGGAGTGAACCTTTCGCATATCCCAAATTTCATGCGAGGTAAATATGAACCACACAATATTTTGAGCTGCCTACTGTTTCAGTTTTCTCTCACATTATTTGATTGGTTGTCTGAAAAAACAAGATCTTGGATTGCGTCACGGTATAACCCATATTATGCGTGGTAACTTCTCTTCAAAAGCGACGCGAAAAAAGCTTGACGATATACAGCAACCAAATCCTCTTTAATTTCGCAATGCGTTATTACTTTTAAAAACGAGAATCGACTCACCTTCCGACATTGTTCTTTTTTTCGGACAAAACAAAGCGAAGAATTCGATTCAACTGAAGCTAAGTACTTATCGGACAACTCTTGTGAACAACCACTTACCTATCTCCTAACATACGCTCACATTCATAAATAGTATGTACGTGCCGCTCACCCATTCAAACGTTGCTGCCGTCGAAAAATCTCACGAAGACGTCGCCGAAAGGCTATATGCAAATTTTGATTCGTACAAGGTGTCTCGCCGCACTTCAGATCAGCACGTGCCATCTCCAGGAGTTGCTGCAAATCCAAGCGCAATTTCTTATAACGAAAACTGGCATGGCAGAGCACCAAGCAGAGCGTATAATCCTCAGCGGTCCATATTGTCACACACGAGATCGTCAGCCAACCCGAATAGATGGCGGTGATGATGAATTGCAGCGGCACTTGTGCGTCATACCAACGAAAGGACATGCGATAGATAAATGGTTTGTCAGGTGACGCCAGCCCCACGCTTGCCACATCGCACACGTACAGCACAAGTATCAGCATCATCGGCACATAGTAGAATTGCGTAAATATATTCATAAAACGCATTATCGAGTTGATTTCCTTGTACAGCGCTGCATCGTCAGCGCTAAAACCGTAAATATGCGAATGGTTTCTATAAGCAAAATTTGCGAGTTCGCAGTTCGCATAACGGCATACTTACTACGTAAAGTAAATGTCACGATAGAAATTTCGAAGTAGTTGGCGTAATGCGCGCTGCCGACTTAGCAGCACAAATATTCGTATTATATATTGCACGCCCATAAAAGAGGTGCAAAGGCACTCAGCCACGGCAGGTATGTTACCGATATTCTCGCCTATGAAGGTAAACTCGCCTGCGATGTGAACAAAATACTTTTACTTACTGTGTGTGTAGAATGCAAATGATATCATCATTACTCACCCACAATAGTACCAATGTAGAAGAGCACGCTCACACTGAGGCATATGTTATTGACGAGCCGACTTAAGATGCTGGCATCCTCCTTGAGTGGCCACAAGAAATTGAATTTGTAACCAGCTACCTGTATGGGTAATTTTATTGGTCGATTGTCGAACTGCAAAGGCACAAAGTAATCCATCTTTGAAGCAGTCCGATGAGTATTTTAGTGTGAAGTTGGGAAACTTACTGAATACCGCCCCCAAATTATTGTTGTATTTATATATGCCCGCTGCGATGTCGTTTCAGCATTTTGCTTTTTGTCTCTTTATATTTTGTTGTATTAAAATTTCATACCATTATTAGCTACTTAAACATTAATTCGATTTTTGACTCGGTTTGTAAATATTGTCATGTTAAAATGTAAGTGTATGTGTGCATATGTGTGCGACATTGATAAATACAAAAAATTGCGATACAAAAAAAATTAATAATTCAGTTTAGCTCACTTAAGAACAATAGCAACATACACCAATTAATGCCGATAATAGCATACTTATACCCGAGCGCAATGTTTTAAGTATTAAGTAGTTCTCGAGAAATCTTGCCAACCCACTTCAAAAACACAGTTTCGAGAAAAACGCTTCTAAAGACGGCGCACTTAGTCTATCTAACCTCGAGTGCACGAGTTCTCAATGCTGTATCTCCGAAACTATTACCCGGATAAATTTCGAAAATGTAAGACAATATTCTAAAGGTATTGTAGAATTTAATAAGATAATCAAAAAGAATTAAATTCCTAACAGGTTTTGTCTGGAAATTAATAGGACTGAGTCGATTTACAAAAATTTATTGAAACAATCTTTACAATTCTTTATACTTTCAAAATAGACGCCTGTAGCGCTGCTAGCGCGATTCCCAAGCATTGAAGGCATCACGGAAGGCATTCTTCGGAATAGCCTTGAGAGACGAGGTGCATACTGCTTGGATCCACTTTCATCAGCCTTATCAGGCAAGAAAACAAGGAAGAAGAGGGGAAGCCACATCTGGACTGTAGGGCGGCTACGAAAGCGTTGGGATGCCTACCTTGGTTAGGTAGCTGTTCACAAGGAAATCGGTGTGAGCCGGGGCTTTCCAATCGGATGTGATATCTTGTCGGACCCAATCGACCCTTCGTTTGAGTCTCTTCTTTATCCAGGAGGAACAAATTCAAGGCGAACGATGCCTCGTTTCACTTTGGATGTCGAGGCTGACAATATGTTTGTGTTAATACTTGTTCCAAAATAGACGATATTTGCGAGGACATCAAAGTTATGACTGTCAACAGTGACGTGTAAGCCAAACTGTAAATGGGATAATTGTTTGTTGGATGACAGAAGTTAGCTCGTCTTGTCATAGACTTGCCAGACCCATATGCTTCACTTCCTTATCTAGTCTGGTCTTATATTCCCCAGCAGTTCTTACTTACCTTTACAGCTTATAATATATTCCCCAGCAGTAGGTTGTAGAAGTCCCACAATATTGGGTCTCTCTGTCTGAAACCTCGTTTAGCATTGAATGCATCGGGGAGGTGCTTCCGTCGATGGCGACTTTAAAATCGATGAAAATGTGGTGTGTTTGAATCTTTGGGGTTTTTGGGGTCTCTCCTCTTTTTGTAGATCAGACGAAGCGTACTTACATAGGATCTATATGTTGGACATACTTTCATCCGACCAGAGCTTTCCTGCCGTACTAACTCTGCCAGCTACCTATCGACGATTGAGTTTTTCTCGAACCCCACACCAAATGACCCTAGGATTTATACATGGCTCATATAAAATAAAGTTAGGTCAACACATAATATAACCTCCTCCAACAAACTTCTCCAACACGTGGTGCACGCGTATAAATTACTCCTTCCAAATTCCCTTTGTGTTTCAAAGGCAGACAATTGTGTATTTTAATCATTTTAAATTAGTTATTAGAAATTATGCTGAATAATTAAAGAAAGGCAAACATATGCCTGCGACCGTAGACCGTAGATCAACATATATGTGTATACAAGTATATTCTTATTAAGCCAAAACAAATTATTTTCACTTAAATATTTGATGAGAGTGCAATTACAAAAACAATACTAAATACTCAAAGTGAGTACAACAACATATAGTTTGGAACATATTGCTACAGAGTATAATAGTTTTGTTCATCTAACGGTTAGACGTATCACCTGAAACTAAACGAGATAGATTTAGGCATAACTACATACATATATGTATACAAGGCGTCGGTCGTTTTTCCTTTTCGCTGTTTAGAGACAATTTGATATTCCAATCGTGAAGTCTTCCCCTTTCTCTGCTTTTCCCAGTACTGCGTCGAATACTCGCAGAGCTGGAGTGTTTTCATCCATTCGTCGACACGACCTAGCCAGCGTAGCCGCTGTTTATTAACTCAAAGACCATATTCCGCAGAACCATAGAGGAGAGTGCGTATCTTCGCTGCAACAATATGGCGATCCAAGTCAATGCTAGGACCTCGACGCATATCTAAAACTTCAGAGATGGGTCTTCCCACTATCGAACATCATCGATCTGGTTGGTGGCTATTCAGTACGGAGACAGGCAGGTAGCTTCATGAACTTTCCTACGCTGGAATTTAGTATTACAGATAACCACATTTCCGACCCCCGGTGAAGTCGATCAGCCTCAACCCATTTGGGACGTTTCATAATAGAGGTAAAATTTACCAAAAATAACTTCTTTGCTCACTCCGTCGTAAAAGTCACCAACCACGTTTTTAAAATCGTCGCCGGGTAGCTCTCATAAGTGTGCTCCAAGCGCTAATAGAAGGCATCTTTAGTCACATCGTCCTTTTCTTCCGCCGGGGCGTGGGAACAAATTAGCGATATCTTGAAGAACCTAGCTTTGATGCGGATTATGGCTGGACGCTCATTCACCGGAACCAGATGCCACTCGGAATTTGCGATCCTTTATATGGCCACTATAGTAAATGCCACAAGAACCTATTCGTCTAAGTCCTGCTCCCGTTTATCGTACTCTTGGACAGCGATGATGTAAACCTTTAGTTTTACGAGGTCATCAACCAGCTGGGCAACGACACACCATAATCCTTAATGCGTTTAAAGTGGCCGTCATCGAAAGTGGGGTATTTCAACCGAGGATGCGTTCGTATTTTTTTTTTTTTTTTTTTTTTGGTTCATTGGAGATGTTTTTTCACGTGTCGGGTCCCAAAATTGTAATAACCCGGGATAAGGATGTTTCGCTTTCTCACTTTAGCTCGCCTTTAAACGGATATTTTTTGGTTACCCAGAGTTTATCAGATCTAAGACCGCAATTTTGAGGTGTTTATATCCCCTTGTTTGTATATGAAGTCCCTTGAAAACATGATAACACAATGTAAGTGAAGAAAATACTAAATTTTATTGTAATTTCTTCACGGTTTCATCGAACAATAGATTTTTAACTCCTTCGCAAAGTTTTTTAATACAATTATTTGCCAGAACCGGGAGCAATTTCCAGGTCTTTGACTTTGCAAGTTACAAGTGTATAAAATGTTCGTATACGTCTGAACTTAGCCCTTACTTATTTGTCTCTTTTTTTTTACAACTTCAAAAAAATTTTTGTATTATGTTTCTTGTAATGATTTTTCTCTCTCTGCTACTTAATCGCAATAATAAATACTGTTTAAGGAATGAAAGAATAATATTTAATTCCATACTTATTTGTATTTAATCCTTTCATAACTTCGTATCATTTTGCGATTTATTCATGCGCTTACGTTGATGGTGTACAAACGTACGAGATATTCCCATTAACACCGAGTAAATTGGGTAAACTTGCTTTAAATACCTTGTAAATGGGTTTTCTCACACTTGATACCATTTGTAATGATTGACCGCTTATGAGAGTGAAATTTAATCGCTGAGAACATTTAAACGAATTGTATACATCAGTCTTAAAATAATTGAATATTTAGTGCTTTTGTATGAATTTATGCTGAGTTTGTGAAAGATGAAGAGAGCATTTTGCTTGACAAAGTGTAAATAATTAAATATATGTAAGAAGTGGAACAATATAACCGATATATATATATTATAAACAAGTAAGAGTCACACCTAGGCAATACCTAGGAACTTAGGAAATATCGAATAACTCTTTATCAATCAAACATTTTAGAAAATTACTCTTTTCATGTAACTATAAACATTAGAACGTTTCGATTTACAAAGAGCCAAAAAGACGGAAAATCGCATTTACGGTAACGATTTTTAAGGATTATAAAAGTTGTTATTCAGTTTTTGAGATATCCGAATGAAATTTAAAACACTGGTTTATTTTGATTTTCTATCGATCATTTGTCGGATTCGGTTAGATTGGACATCACATCCGTCAATTGTTCCACCGTAAAGCTATCACCGAGTGTAGTCTTAAGTTTATCCCTTGAACTTAAAAAGCGAGGGCAATAAAAGAATATACGCTCAGAGACTTTAAAGAATTCTCAACACGTCGATCAATTCGGACTAAGAATTTGGAATCTGTCCAGATAGCTTCCAAAGCACCCATGTCCCCTTAGCATTTGGGTAAGATGGAATTGTAGATCCGCATAACGTCTGCATATTAACGAATGAATGTATGGTATCAGTCTATGGGTCCAATATCCTTTGCGTAAGGTTTGCCACCAATGCTGCTATACTATTAAGCTGCTGACTCTCTCTTCTCTTTTGGCTCCTATGCATATCCTATGGCATATCCACTCGTATTCGTCACCATTGATGTCAAACGGCATCATACTAGCTATTACTTCAACAGCATCGCAAGCACTGGTAACTGGGACAATCCACGTCAAGTGGTTCATGAAAATTTTGATTTGAATTTTGAAAATTATTAAGAATGTTCGTGATGTTATAAATATTTTTTCATAATCCATTTATTTAAATAATAATATTTTACAACATTTTTTGTTAAACAATTGAAGTTTTTCAGGTGTTCTTCATGCTAAAAAAAATTAAAAAATATATGACACAATGCGAAAAATAGAAAATTATTAATTTCAACCTTCACTAACTTTCACAAAAAAAAAAAAAAAAACAAAAAAAAAAAAATTAACTAAATATTTATATCACGGGGTATGCGGCTGATCCCTCTCCTAATGAACTGCTACTTTTCAAAATGAGAGATTTTCTGAAATCTTCATTGACCACTT